GAAGTTCTGTTTTCCTGAAAACAAAGATTTAACAAAGATCTTTTTTTAATAAATTTCAACCGACAGTAAAACAGGCTGCTTGGTTAGTGAATGCCGAATGTTTCCATGTAAACAACGACTAAAATTACCATTTATTGCGTTAATACGTTGCGACGTCACGTCTTTGCACGGTGACATGTTGCGACGTCACGTCTTTGCACGGTGACGACATGTTACGAAGCCACGCAATTATTTCAGTATAACACATTCTTTTCTCCTCCAGATTTTTTAACCTAAAAGTTGAGGGTACGTATTCGACACAAGAAGTTTCGATTATTTTTTTCCGGTTTCGTTACTTGTTGTATTTGGGATGGCATTGTCGGAGCTCCTCCTTAATTTCCTAATTGTCACTAGGGGTCGCTCTCCCTACACTATAAATCCTGGGCGACTCCTTGCCTCGTTCTCTTCTTGGGTGGTAGAAAGCTACCCGACCCCGTGTATACGGGGTCTACGAGGAATTTTTGCCCAAGCCTATGGGGTCGGTTTTGACCCTGCACTAAAAACGGCCTTGTGCCACATCCTGCCTCGCGGGGAGGTTAGGTAAATATCCTTTTTCACTTTGCATTTCAGCAGCCACATTTAAACATGTAAGCTCTCGTAGAAGATAACGTTTTCCCTTTTGTGAACATTACATACACATGCGTACGAACTTTCACCAATATACAAGCTCTTTACGTTCACGCACAAACACAAATGTTGATGTCTTTGTCACTTGTAAATTTATTCTTTAATACATATATTTGTTGACATATATATATATATATATATATATATATATATATATATATATATATATATCGGTCTTGTTTGTCTTTACATCTTCGGTTGGATTCAACTTGAGTCCGCATTGTTCTTGTAGTTGGTCCTTCTTCAAGCAGGAATAAACAGCATGTGTTCCTAATTCAACAGCACGTAAAAACACACGGTCATCTACAGTATGACCGATAATTCGTTATATTTATGGCTCCAAATAACTATTGTGTAACAGAGGGTTTAAATCACTAAGTAAACCCCGCGTTTATTTTGATTATTTTTCTCACTTGTGAACCTTTCTCCGGTTTCCTGTCTTTTGTGTCAACGTCTATGTGCTATTTCCTTTCAGAGTCTTGGCGATCATGGCTCTCCACAATTTCTTTTCTTTGCAGCTTTTAATAACTTTTTTTCCTGTTGCCATCTCTACCAAAACTTGCTCCGCCATCAATTCACTCAAGCTCGCCAGGTAGGTTATGTGTTGCTTTCCAATGTCTTTATTACCTTCAATATATCCGGTGAGTATTAATTTTTCCAAGCCGTCTTTCCTCGCCATATGCCCCAACTGTCTTTTCCTTGTGTTAAGTATGTCTTTTTTGTTTCCATTTTCTTTAAAACTTCATCATTTTCAATCCATGCTATTCTTAGCATCCTTCTGTAGAACTACATTTCTGTTGGTTCATGTCTCATTTATGAGGGGATTGTCCAGCATTCACTGCCATATAGGAGGACTGGAATGATGCTCTTCTGTCAACTTTCTTTAACTCTCAGTAACCCGTTGCATCCTCGTGTCTCTTACTATCTTGCTTGGGGTGAAATGATTAAAAAAAAAATTATTCACAGACATTTTAAGTACCATTTAGTCAGCTTCTTTGCCGTTCGAGACAAAGATGTCATGATAGTTTCGTCAGCTATAAAGAGGGAAGCCATGAACGAAGTTGTGTGGTGACTGACTGTCGGAGATTGTTAAATATTAGAAATTTGGGCGTTTTTTATGCCGCACACGGACATAATAGTAATGCTTACTTCTGTTTTTATGGAATGACTGGGAAGTAACCTATCGCCAATCGATTGTCTATTCGTAATATTGTTTCTTTGAGTGTGTGCTTGTTTTCGTCATAAACCTGTTGGGTTTTTATACGAACATATTCGCACGTTTGCTCTAAATGCGGTGTATATGTATTTATAAAATAATATAATATAAATTCTTAATTATATTCGATACGAACTGGATAAAGTGTGTCATGTTATTGCTATTGCTTGTTTATACCCAGTAAGAGTAGCAGTCTAAAGTAGTTTGAATTTCTCAGATAAGACACTTATTTTTGTTTTACTTATTTATTTTTTACGGCTTATCAACCCTTTGCAGGTTATTTCAAGCCAGAAAACATTTTTAGATTGTAATATTTCTTTTCTATTTGATAACGATTTAGTGACACAAAACATACTAATTAACCCATAGCTAGGGGAGAAAAGGTGGATTCATACCCACCCTAATGGTATTTACACGTAAGTGAATATAACGAACTCAACTGGAATTGAAACTCTGCTCTGATTAAAAATTCCGAGCCAATCACTACCCGCACATCCACGCTTACAGAACCTGATATTCCAAGACGGTCACCCATCGAGATATTGACCAAGCTCGACGTTGCTTGATTTCGGTAAATCGTATGATGTGGCCGTAAGCCACACTTATTTCTGTCTGAATACCTAGAATGAGGAATTGTTATTTACACTGTTTATAATTTGACTATTGTCCTCATCTTTATCACAAAGTTTCGGCCGTTGTGTCCTCGGGCCTTCCTCCGGTGTATATTGATCTGGATAACCTACAAGGAATTCTGAACTGAACCATTTATTTGATCTACGGGAGTAGACTGTTCTCGTTCCACAGCCCTTGCCTAGGGCTATCTCTCCTAGTTCTTGTTTTAAACATTGCTCAGTTATTGCTCATCCATTTTCCCTGATTCCAAGTACATACTGCCCGACTGAGGGATTGAAATCACAACCATTATGTTACCCTAATTTACGAAACAAGGTTTAATTCCCTAGGCCATTGCTATAGTGAACATGGAATCTGAACATTTATTCATTTTTTATGAGAGAACCTTTACTGTCTTCCATTATTATGGCTGATGCTAACCTCTAGGAGAACAAATCTTTACAATTTCTTGGGATCACGTTTTTTTACTGATATGAAATTGGGTGATTATATTGAATCAATTGCTAGATCTACTGATAGGATAAATTGTTCACTGCGTCGTACCAGACAATTTTTATTGCTTCTATATTCTTTCACACGAATGCGGGTGTCCCCAAGGCTCTAACCTGCGACCTACTCTGTTTCTGATCTTCATCAGTGGTCTTTCTGATGTCATCAGTTCCCAAGTAGATGACACTACCACTGTCTCAAAGCAAATCCGTCAGAGCTGACAAAGTAAACGTGGCAACTGTTCTTGAAAATGACCTCCAATCAGTGGTTAAACGGAGGTGATTGGATACCAGCTGTCGTCCTAAAGAAATGTGCCCCCTGAGCGGGCTCCAGTTCACTCCAAACTCTACCACAAAGGCATCGCTGCTTCCCGCTTTCCAACTTGTTGGAAGTTCATCTCTGTATTTCCTGTTTTTAAGAACTCTGGAGAAACCTCTGACCCCTTAAATTATCGCCCTATTAGTCTCTTACCGTTTGTCGGCAAAGTATTCGAGGCTCTAATGAATGCTGAAGTGGTTAAGCATTTTAATTCTCATGACCTCTTCTCAGACAAACAATATGGCTTCCGTTTCACCAGGTCTACCGCTGATGTGTTAACGGCCTTCACTGAATATGTAGATCAAGCTCTTGATAATAACGGCGAAGCGCGAGCTGTATGTAAAATATCTCGAAGGCGTTTGACAGGGTTTGGTTAGCTAGTCACGGTATTACAAGACAATTGCTTGATTTAATCAAATCATTCCTATCAAATCGTGAAATGAAGGTCTTTTTAGACGGCCTCGCTTCCATATTCTCTCACATGAACTGGGTGTCCCCCAGGGCTCTATCCAGGTATCTACGCTGTTTCTGATCTTCATCAATAGTCTTCCTGCTGTCATCAGCTCCAAAGTAGGTATTTATGCAGATTACACTGTCATCTAGTCCTGCTGTCTCAATAGCAAATTCGTCAGAGCCGACAAAATAAACCTTTGAAAACGACCTCCAATCAGTGGTTAACTGGGGCAGGAAATGGATTGTAAATTTTAACGCCCCCGAAACAAAACTGCTCTCATTTAACTACCAGAGAGAAACTTTTCTGTCTACCATCAGCTTGGCTGACGATAGACTCCTGGAGAGCAACACACTGCGCCTTCTTGACCTCACGTTTTCAACTGACGAAGTGGAACGAATCAATAGTTGCATCTACTGCAAGGAATTCTGTGTTACTGTGTCGTGCCAAAAGATTTTTCTCATCAGAATCCATGTTGCACATCTATAAATCTACCATCCGTTTGTCCATTGAATATTGCTGTCATATCTGGTCTGTTGTTCCTACTATATATCGCGAGATTCTTGATAAAATTCAAAGAAGGGTCTCTGATGTAATCGATCCTGATCTGGCATCTCGACCTCAGTCCTTTTCTCAACGACAAGACGTAGCTTCCCTCTGTCTTTTCTACAAATATGTTAATTGTTCTGATGGGCTCCCTTCTTTGGTGCCTCGACTGGATGAATTTACACGTAGTACTAGATTGGCAAGTAGGTCTCATCGTTTTACTGTTGAAACAACTAGATGAACCCCTCTGTTCTATTATAATAGTTATTCTCGCACTTCTCGCCTGTGGAACTCCCGATTTCTCGCTTCCCTACAAATGCTCTAAAATGTTGTTGCCTATCTACAATCTTCATATATTTAAATACAACGCCAATCGCCACCTTCTGTCGTCCTGAATCCTGTTCGTTTATTATCCTTTCTCCTCACTAAAGTCTTCTCAATCCCTTTCACTCCCTTTAACACCTTGCGTCCTAGTGGCATTATTGCCTTGCTTGTGCTGATTAAAAAAATGGTTTCGTTCATTTTAGTTTTTATGGTACTGTTCTTTTTTTGTGCCATGTACCTCCAAGACGTTGGCGATCATGTCTCTCCACAATTTTTTGAAATTTGTAGCTCTTAATAAATTTTGTCTATTTGTCATCTCACCTAAAACCTGTTCCGCCATCCATTTATACGAACCCGTTAGGTAGGGAAAAGAAGAAAGAAACGAGAAAGAAGAAAGAAAAAGAAACAAGAAAGAAGAAAGAAAAAGAAACGAGAAAGAAGAAAGAAAAAGAAACGAGAAAGAAACGAGAAAGAAGAAAGAAAGAAACGAGAGATAAAAAGAAAGAAACGAGAGATAAAAAGAAAGAAACGAGAGAGAAAAAGAAAGGAATGAGAAAAAGAAAGAAAGGAATGAGAAAAAGAAAGAAAGGAATGAGAAAAAAGAAAGAAAAAGAAACAAGAAAAAAGAAAGAAACGAGAAAGAAGAAAGAAAGAAACGAGAAAGAAGAAAGAAAGAAACGAGAAAGAAGAAAGAAAGAAACGAGAAAGAAGAAAGAAAGAAACGAGAAAGAAGAAAGAAAGAAACGAGAAAGAAGAAAAAGAAACGAGAAAGAAGAAAAAAACGAGAAAGAAGAAAAGAAACGAGAAAAGAAGAAAGAAACGAGAAAAGAAGAAAGAAAACGAGAAAGTAAAAAGGAAACGAGAAAGAAGAAAGAAATGAGAAAGAAAGAAATGAGAAAGAAAAAAAAGAAAAAAGAAACGAGAAAGAAGAAAGAAACGAGAAAGCAGAAAGAAAGAAACGAGAAAGAAGAAAGAAATAAACGAGAGAGAAAAAACAAACGAGAGAGAAAAAGAAAGAAAGGAATGAGAAAAAAGAAAGAAAGGAATGAGAAAAAAGAAAGAAAAAGAAACAAGAAAAAAGAAAGAAACGAGAAAGAAGAAAGAAAGAAACGAGAAAGAAGAAAGAAAGAAACGAGAAAGAAGAAAGAAAGAAACGAGAAAGAAGAAAAAGAAACGAGAAAGAAGAAAAAGAAACGAGAAAGAAGAAAAAGAAACGAGAAAGAAGAAAGAAACGAGAAAGAAGAAAGAAACGAGAAAGTAAAAGGAAACGAGAAAGAAGAAAGAAACGAGAAAGAAAGAAACGAGAAAGAAAGAAACGAGAAAGAAAGAAACGAGAAAGAAGAAAGAAACGAGAAAGCAGAAAGAAAGAAACGAGAAAGAAGAAAGAAATAAACGAGAGAGAAAAAACAAACGAGAGAGAAAAAGAAAGAAAGGAATGAGAAAAAAGAAAGAAAGGAATGAGAAAAAAGAAAGAAAGGAATTAGAAAAAAGAAAGAAAGGAATTAGAAAAAAGAAAGAAAAAGAAAGAAAAGAGGCAAACAAAAGAAAAAGGAAAAAAAAGAAAAAGAAAGAAAAGACATTAAAACAAGTGTTTAACGTCTGTTTCAGTGAAATGAAAAAGTTGTCAATTTCAATTTTTTTTCATTTGTACCCACTTCTTAAAATAACGATCAACATTCATATTTATGATTGTTATTGCAATATTTTGTTAAAGTTGTAAAGCTCAAATATTTAACGATGCGATAAGGCAATTTCTCCCGATATTTTATTGTCATAGAACTTGCCGTGAGTTTATTCAATTATTAACTTTAGCTTCATTAGAAAATTAAAAATAGGAAAACCGTGAAATTTTCACGCGTACATCTAGTTAATAATGACAATGCTTTTAGTAAGACGTTCAGAACACCTTAAGAGTTAATCAGATTGAAGCAAATAATAAAAATAAGCGATTAGCATCAACTGCAGTTATCGAGAGCAGAGAATGTATAGAAAGTACCTTAATTTCTGAGTCTTCTACGATAAATCTACGTCTAAATTCATACAAAATGTGATCTTTCTTAACAAAAGTATTATAACATGCGATAATTTAAAACAATAGCGATAATGATAAAATGAAAGAAAAAGCAATCGAATCTATATCATAAAAGAAATGCGGATTCTCTGTCCGTCACATACTGTCTGCGTGTGACTGTATACGTGGACGTCTGCATTGTGCATGAGTGACATGTATGCAGATACACATAATTTGACTGGGTTTGAAATAAGATATTGGAATAATATATTTCCTTCCCACTCAGTCTCCGACAACTCCCTTGGTTGAGCAATAAAATAATTTGGAAACAATAAAATTCCTAATTTTTTAAACCTGAAAAAAAAAAAAAAAAAAAAAAAAAGAAAAATGATTTTAAATATTTCGTAAATTATTCGCTAATAAATAAAATTTATTGTTTTTATTCTGTTTTTTTTTAAAAATATTTCTAGATCTGTATTTGAACTAAAATATACAGGTGTGTGTGCACACACATACACGCATACAAACTTTGAATCGAACTGAACTGAAATGGGCATTTGTGTCACGAGGGATACTTTCCTTTTTCTCTCTCTGGTAACAAGCCCTGGATAACATGAAAAGTGTATAAACCAAAATGTGTGACCCTTATAATAATGGCAATACTTCATCCTAAAAATTATGACTATATTAGAGGTATGTGTGTTTAGTTTTCGTAACCCGTAGGAGGATAAAAAAAGACACTTACGTAGTTTATCTTTGTAACTTTGGTTCTCCGGATCGTAGGAGATGGCTTTCTTGTAGTGCTCCTCTGCAGTGTAGTACTGTGTACCTTCGTGGATTCTGGCCCAAATAAAGTGCAGAGTGGCAGGGTTTGGCACCAATGAAAGGGACTTACGAAACATCTTCTCACTCTCTTCTCGTCGACCTGAAAAAACAAGAATATTTCTATAAGTTCTACATTAATATGGTGATTTTTCAAAGTGTACCTTCAAATATGACACAAGGCCGTTTGTATGAAACACCCAGTGAGGATCGAACCCACTGTTCAGTAATAATTGATTTAGCTTGACAAGCGTGTTAACCATTACGCACGTTAAGCGTCCAATGATTTTCTATGCGTGCCTTAGATATGGCACAAGGCCGAAATTGTGGTGCACTCAGTGAGAATCGAACTCACTTCTAAATTGTAATTGATATAGCGAGACAAGCTTGTTAACCATTACACCACGTCGAAGTACTCAAAGCTTCTAATTCATAGGACTGCGAGGTTTAAGGTGATTCGCCCATTGTATACATATTACATATCAAATTTAGAATTTTGAACCAGTTTTTCGTTTTTATTTTTTAATGGGTATTTTGGTTGGGTGATCAGAGAGGATCCTTCACGATTGGATGATTTACTTGTTTGAAGGGACTATCGCGTTACGTATACACCTTTACATATCAAATTTAGCATTGGAACGGACCTTTAGACTCATTTGTCGTTTTTAATTTTGAATGGCATTTGTGTGGCAGACAGACATAATCCTTTGAGAAAGAAAGTGGATTGGCTAACAGGAAAACATTCGGAGGCGACGTTTCGACTTTAAACAGAAAAGTTAAAAAAATATTCCAAGGCCTGGTTTAAAACTCAAATGACACCAAACTATCACTGAAGGAAACATCACACAGCACAGTATAAGTTCGGCAAAGTACTGATTATTCAATTGTAATTGTTAGTGATGACTATAAAGTTATATTGGAAAGATCTGGTCTCTTCAGAGAAAAAGTAACACGAATATGAAAAAAAAAAAAATACTACTTCACGGTGGAGTAGTGGATAGCAGCTCCAGGAATCGGAGAGCTGAGTTCGAATTCCAGTCGAATCTATTATATTCACTTACGTGCTAATAACCTTGGGAATGTTATGAATCCTCTTCTTCTCCCCCAGCTATGGGTAATTAGCAGGATGGACCGGGTTCTATAGCCTTGGATGGCAACTGGTCTACCGCAGAAAGAAACAACAACCTACTGCGGGAAAGAAAATCTACCTCGTCAGTCATGTATCGAAATATCGCCTAAGCGTGTATCATGCATGGCACATAACTGACTGTCAAATATTATAATATCTTATATATGACTTCATCTTTAATCGACTTGTAGTTGTTTGCTAATACCCTCTTCTTCTCCCTCTTCCCCAGCTATGGGTGAATAGCAGGACAGACCGGGTTCTATAGCCTTGGATCACAACTGGTCTACCGCAGAAAGAAATGGCAACCTACTGCGAGGGAAAAAAATCTGCCTCGTCAGTCATGCATCGAAATATCGCCTAAGCGCATAACTAATTTACTGACTCCAACTGTACGAGTTGGCATCGTATTTTAGGCTCTGAGTGAAAGCAGAGGTGCTAGGAAGTGAAGATTGTGGGGACAAGAGTATATTTATAAGTGTACCATTCGCCCAGGCTTAGAATATTGTTACCGCATATGGTCCAGTACCCTTGTTATTTACCTTGAGCTCCTTTTTATTTGATAAAAATCCAAAGAAGAATCGGCAATATTATTGGTCCTGATCTGGCAGCCCGGCTTCAGTCACTTTCTCACCGCCGTAATGTTGCCTCTCTGTGTCTTTTCTATAAATAATTTCATGGTAAGTGTTCAGATGAGCTCATCGCTATGGTACTTAAACTTTTTGAATTTAAGAGCATGATCGATGTCTCATCGATTTACAGTCGAGCTGGCTAGATGTAATCGTTTCATGCTGTTTCTTTTCTCGCACTTCTCGCTTGTAGAACTCCCTTCCGGCCCCATGCTTTCCAACCAATTTTAATCTGCAAAAATTTAAATGCAATGTCAATCGTTATCTAATGTCCTCCTGATTACTTTTTCCTCTTCCCGTTCATTGTTAATGCTCATAATTCTTCCACACTTACGTCATTAGTGCATTGCAAAGGGTGATTCCAATTAAAAAGGAAAAAAAGATGTCGAATGACCCTTAACTTGAAAAGGTTAAGAATGTAATATTCAGGGAACTATGGGAATTTTTCACAAAGTAGCATATCTTAGGAAAAAGTTGTTGGAGTGTAACATTTTGAATACGGAGGAAATGAGATTTGACTCCGTGGAAATAGCAAGGCGTGTTTTATTTGTAAAGGTCTGAACTGGCGAAATTAAAGAATGGAGCTCATCTTAATATTTTTTGTATTTGTTTGATTTTGGAGTTTCCAATTCGTAATTCGCATTTTGGGCTGTTCCTCTCGTTAACAGACATTCATCGTCTTCTTACAATTGATGATTAGTCCTTTCTTCACGCTTTCCTAAATTCAGTCGTTCTGCCAGAATGCTTCCTTTCTGTGTCTGCTATCACCACTGTCATCTGAATATTTTATGTTGTGAAGACTGCCCGACAATGATAAGTCCTGTTAGGACTTCTAGATCTATCAGGGTCGCCTCACTGTATAGGTTGAATAAATCCAGTAAAAATCCAAATACTTGTCTTACGGCCACTGCAAGTGTCTTGTGTGACCTCACTTAATCTATGATATGCCCTACCTACACACACTTTACTAGATCTCAATATTCATAAAGTAGTATTCATATAAAATACAACTTTTGTTGTAACCTAACTACGTACAATAATGGTTCATATGCAATATAGGTGAACAATTCAACTAGAAAAATTGAAAATAAATACAAATTAGAGATATTGTAGAGAAATTGACTGTTAGTCAGGCGAGAAAGGAGCAGTTTACTTCCTTTGTATTGTTGAAAGCCTTACTAAACAAAATCATATTATCTTTACGTTTTACAGTTGCAGTGGTCACATGACAGGGTCACCATGTGATCCCTGAAGTCATATAAAAGGAGATGTATCTCTCATCTTTTTTTAAAAATTTGCTTCCCTGTTACCAAGTTGCGGAAAACAGCAATATATTTCGCAACGTAAGGTGGGTGCTATTGTTTTTTTTTGTCCTCGACCTGATCAGTCTCTGTTCGTTTGGTTATATTTATTATACAACAGGTACAAAGACGCCACGGTGGCAAAATTGGGATGGGGAGAGGCTGGTTTTCACCTGTCTTATCTCTAACTTAGCTAGCCTCACTTACTGAACCAATTGTCCAAACATTGCTCCTTTCACCAAAACATCTCATCCACTGTCATACACATACACCACAATGTCACATTCACTCTAAAAAATCCTTCCTAATCTCCATATGTACAGTTTTTTATGAAGGGCTGGGTTGATAAAAATTTAAAACTATAAATCCCCAATGATTATGATATAAAACTGTATACAACTAAACAAAACTAGTGTTAGTAACAGGAACAGGCCCCCCCACGTCTCTGTTCGTTTGGGGGATTGGAAGCAAATAGATCATTCCATCTTAAATACAACGGGATTTCAAAGCAACCCCCCATTTTATGTATGATAGACTCTCCTGTCTTGTAAAAATTATCGTTAGATTCTCAACTTCCCCAGTTTGTTTTGGCTCCCCTTTCATCTCGACTGGGTCAGCTTTATATATTTCCCATGTCCGTATATATTTTCTCCTTTCTAGCGAATTCTCCCTTGATTTTGTCCAATGGGCAGAATACAGCGGCCTCTCTTTTTTGAGGGTTGGACGGGGCCTACTAACATCAGTTATGTTTAGTTTGCTTTGTGTTTATATTTAGTTTGTTTTTGTATTAATCCCCTCCTCATTGTCAACCATTAGATTTTTATCCATGAAATACTTATTACCATCAAATTTTTAAATCTCGGGGTGCGTTTTCTAGGTCCCCCTGAGAGGGTGCAGTATTATTGTGTATGGAGGATTGGTTGGTGACGGACGAGTGTTTGTGGGGAATGTGAGAAATTGTAACGAGTGAATGGGTCGTGAATTGGATTAGCTAGGTATAAGATAGTTAGTGAAGACTAGCCTCAACATCTTTCCCTCTTTTCGGCCTTGTGCCATAATTGTATTTTTAATACAATAAATATTTACAATATTATAGATAAAAATAGTGATTTTTTTATATACTGTTTTTTTTTTTAGACTTAGCTTGAGGAAAATAAATTCACAGATTTGGACGTAAAAAAAAAGACATCAGAATCACGTCAAAATCCGCGAAAATTCTTTTTATCGTGTAATATTCATTCGTTTAGCAGGTAGAAATAAAAGCAAATGATATTAGGTTGGTGCAAAAATAATGACGTAAGAAGGTCGTTTTTTGACGTTAAAAAATACGTCAAAAACGACATTATTACGTCATTATTTTTGCACCAACCTAATAAGATAGCAAGAGCCACAAAGCACTACCTGGAACCTTAGTCAGATATGACCACACCCGGTCTAGGGTCGAGTAAACACCTGTTTATGGCCTTTTGTATTTTTGTATGTTTACTTAATTCTCATACTCTCTACATGCAGATACTTTGGTTGGTTTGTCCCATTATGTTCTAGATTATTCTAATGTCTTTCCCAAGTGTACAGCCCCGGTTTAGTACGGTCAGACTTCTATTTTTCTCTGAAATAAAAGAGGCCTTAAAAAGGTAGTTTTTTTTTTAAAATTCTTTTTATCTGATGCGCTCAACAGAATCGAAAGCAAACTAGAAACCTTATTCGTGGATTGAAGGAAAAAGTAGGAAAATAGATTACACTAAATGGTGACTATGTTGAAAGTAAACTTTCAACGGTAGCAACAACTAAAATGTTTGCCTATGTAATTCGAAGAGAAAATAATGACATAATCAAGAGGCTGATATGCCACACTACTTCAAACAAAAGGTTAGGAAGGAAACCTTCCTTCTAATCGATATTGGAGATAGCAATAGCAGTTAGTGAACTCGATAAAACTATTCCCCTGAAAAAAATTGTTTAAAAGAAAGATTTTATAAATTTCAATCGATGAATGCTGAATATTTCCATATCAAAAAGCAGCA